GCCACTTCCTCATCCGACATTAAACAGAGCCCGACAGAGGAGGGAGGGGAGGCTCTTGCCGTGCAGCGCTTCAAGAGCTGTCCTGCGTCTGACCTCAAAGTGCACGAGCGACCAACTTCAGCGTTGGCTGCGATTTTGAAACTGAAATCGCGTTCGGTGTGAACGCAGCATTAGAGAGGAAAATTCATTTATTAAGATGGATTGAACATGATAGGGATTTTGTACCAGCACAACTTGATTCAAAATTCAAACAACTAACCAGGAAAGGTATTACTTCATACTGTGTGATTTCTTCTGGTGCCGATCTGGATAGTTTCCAACAATTATGAGAAAAATTTGACCTTGACAAACAAGATTTTTTCAGATACKTGCAGCTCAGGCACTACTTTAATAAGAATATTAAAACATTGGAAAAAGATGATCAAGACCTCATTAATATCTTCATTGATGCTTATAAAGGTAAATCCTATAAGCCATCATAAACCATCGCTTATATTTTCGGTCTTAAATTTCATTCAAGGTGGTATTAAAAAAGGTCTTAAAATGTCTTAAATTTGACTTGCTACTTACCCTGCAGATACCCTGAAAAGAAGACTCCAACACATCACTAGTATTTTGTTGCACCACCTACTGCTTTTATAACAGCTTGCAGTCTCTGAGGTATGGACTTAATGAGTGACAAACAGTACTCTTCATCAATCTGGCTCCAACTTTCTCTGCTGTTGCCAGATCAGCTTTGCAGGTTGGAGCCTTGTCATGGACCATTTTCTTCAACTTCCACCAAAGATTTTCAATTGGATTGGTATCTGGACTATTTGCAGGCCATGGCATTGACCTTATGTGTCTTTTTTCAAGGAATGTTTTGATGATGATGATGATGATGATGATGCATTTATTGTACAAAGCACAACGAAATTACATTTAAGATCACCTGTTCAAGAAGCCACACAGTTTTTGCTCTATGGCAGGATGCATTTGTCATGGATCTCACCTGTGCCTTGTCTCTGTCATGCCCACCTCCAGGAGTCAAGTATTCATCTTAATTTGGCACATTTGTGTTTACCTCCATATAAGCTTCAGCCTTGCCTCCAGTCGGTGCCAGATTATCCTAGAGCCAGTCTCAAAGATTCTCCAGCATTCAATCCATGTTTGACGACCACAATCCTGACCTTGTTTTACGCCCCTTGGATTTCAGCCTCTCATCTCGTCCCCACCTGTACCTCTGCTGACCTTTTGCCTCTGGATTCGAACCCCTGCTTGTTGTCCTGCACCACATCTTCAGCCTTGCCCCTGGACTTGTTTGCCTGTCTTAGTCTCACGGTGCTCGACCTCTGTTCTGTCTCTGGATCCCGATCTCTGGACTACTTCGCTGTAAGGAGAGGTACGCCTCCGCATTCCTCACCTGCGATGAGCACAAAATACGGCATCTGCTATCGGTCCTGACCTTTACCCAGTTCCGTCTTAAGAAGAGTTCTGGTCGCAGTAGCCACCCACTTCCTGGTTCTCCCTCCGCACCGCCACAAATAAACTGTTTAAAACTTTTTCTGTGTTCGGCTCAGCTTTTGAGTCCTAGTACAAAGTCTTTTCAGCATCATCATCTTGAAAAATGATTTTATCATCCCCAAACATCCTTTCAACTGATGGGATAAGAAAAATGTCCAAAATATCAAGGTAAACTTGTGCATTTATTGAAGACGTAAAGACAGCAATCTCCTCAATGCCTTTACCTGACATGCAGACCCATATCATCAATGACTGTGGAAATTTGCCTGTTCTCTTCAGGCAGTCATTTTTTATAAATCTCATTGGAACGGCACCAAACAAAAGTTCCAACATCATCACCTTGCCCAATGCAGATTCACAATTCATCACTGAAAATGATTTTCATCCAGTCATCCCCAGTCCACTTTTGTAAACTTTTTTCTGTTTAAGTGTTAATGATGGCTTTTGTTTAACTTTTCTGTATGTAAATCCCATTTCCTTTAGGCAGTTTCTTACAATTCGGTCACAGTGGAATGAACATCCTTCAAGGCCGATGATTCCATAATTTTTGCCAGGGGTTGTGCATGTCAACCCCTTTGAATGAGCCTCAAAAATCAGAAATTTTCACAAAAAATCCATGCATGCAGGCGGACTGTCTGCCGTGGAGATGACAGCATCTACTGCGCAAATGAGTACAGGCCAGGACTTATTTATAGTGGCAGAGCGGGCAGGAAGATGGAATATTTGATGTTATTTGTTTTTTTTTTACGTCCTACATGCTCTGACATGTTAGATAAATTTGAAACTGAGTTTTAGAAAAAATCCGTATGATAAAATCTGTGGGGTTGCTCTATACCAGTGGTTCCCAAACTTTTTGTCTTCTGACCCACAAAATATCCATGGCAAAAACTTGTGACCCCAAATATTACTGGTATGAGTACACGAACTTCGTTAATAACCCTAAAAACGCAGGTTTTTTGACAATCTAAATAGCTTATACACAAATATAAATACTTGTTTTTACTTATTTTTTGTTTTTGTAATAATTATAGGGAAAATATTACATCAGCAATTATTTTATTACCCTTTAAATGATTTCTGGAGATTATCCAAGGT